CCTGGAGAAGTTGGCATAACACATTGAACTTGGTTAGCTTCAAGGTTCATGATCATTCTTAACTCACCTTGGAGCTGATTCCCAGGTGAGGAGAGCTGGAAACTTGCCACAAGAGTAGAAATGGCTAGTTACAAGCCATATCCTCAAATTCTTGAAGTAATACTAAAGTTTCTGAACGTGTGCAGAGTATTTTCTTCTTATCGTTTACACACAAAATAAGCTCAGACCAATCTGGAATTAGGGGAAAGTGCTTCAAGAAGGCTGGTGACCTCCAGTGCTTTTCAATTTGGAAATTCAACACCAGCAATAGCTTACTGCATATAGCCTCCAAGGCAAAAAACAAAACAAAACAAACAAACAAAAATCACTGGTGTCTTTGACTTATAGAATTCTCTAAAACCTGTTTAAGAAGTTGGGCGGGATGCCTGGAAGAAGTTGAAAACAAACAGGAACTTGCCGCTAATTAAACCATCCCTGCTCCACTAAGCCCTGGGGCTGTTTTGAATACCAGGACTCAGCTTGGGGTTCAGTGAGATTACCTCTGAGCATGTGTAGAGCGTGACCTGTTTCTATCACTGCGAGACTGCATCAAGGATTCAAGGTTAAGGTTTCTTACACAAAAGGGTGATTCTACACATATTTAGGGCCTGTCACATTTAAAAAAGTTAACTCCTTCAGGATTCCTCCTTGATTAAAAAACAAGATCACAAGAGCTGAAAAAGCTGGAAAAGAACCCAAGTATCCCAACAATTTCAGCAGCAGCCACCAGAGGGCGCGGCCCTTTCAATGCTCAATAGCTGTCCCATGTGGCAGTCTCTTCCCCTGTAGCTTAACCAAAGTCCTTCTAAAAGTGACTTTGTGGGGCATCTTTTCAGAGTGATCATTGCTTGGCTTAACCCTTTCTCGCTCTCTTCCATCCCAACATAGAATGATGCAGTCTGAAAGCAGGGATCTTTGATGAGTACCACCTTGTGAGTAGATGAACCCTAGCATGTATCTGTCTGCAGTGCGGGCAGGGGTCATTTCCTGCAGGAGCGCACAGGAGCGGAGCTCTGGCAGTAAAGAGCCCAGGGGGTGGGCACATGCAACAAGCTCCGCCCCCTGCTCCCAGCAGCCCAGGGCCACGAGGAGCAAGAAGCAGCCAGGTAAGTTGCAGAGCCCCCCACGGCCCTAACGCTGAAGCGCAGAGCCTGGGGAAGGCCTCTGGAGCCCCACCACCCACCTTTCCTGGCACCTGGCTGGTGCGGGGTGGCGGTGGTAGGGGCTTGATTGGGGGGGCCATGTGGGTGGCGGGGCCTTGATGAGGGGTAAGGGAGCTGCCCTTTCTTTCATTCTGTCCTTTTTTCCTTCTCCTTCTTTCCCTCCTTTCCCTCTCTCCCTCCCTCTTTCTCTTTTCCTCCTTTTCCTTCTCTTTTTCCCCCTCCTTCCTTCCTGCACATATCTGTGCGCTCCCCCTCCCGATAGCAATCCAAAACAGTCCAGTGGCACCTTTAAGGCCAAGGCTTATTCAGGGATAAGCTCTCCCTCCTCTGTGAGGGCAGATCTGCGCATCCCCCCCATAGCTAGCAATCCAAAACAGTCCAGTGGAGCCTGAGCAGTGGGTGTTGCCTTCTGACACACTTCCGGTGATGTCAGGGGGTGTGGCATATGCAAATAAGTTTGCTAATGAGCTCCTGCACCTTTTTCTATGAAATGACCCGAATGCGGGACAAGTTCTTCAATGAAAGCCCATTGTTTGTGCCAACCTACAGAAAATGATAAACACCATTGCTTCCCTGGATAAGTTTTCCTTTGCAGAAATGAACAGGGCCTTCCCCGTGCCAATATGTTACTGCCAGCTGGGACAAAAAGGCAAAATTGGTTGATTTTCGAGGGGTTGTTTTATATCCCAGGTGCTTTTCTGCTTATAGGAAGAAAACAGTAAGTGGCTATACTTTGCAGATATCAGTAAACAATGTGTGACAGTGTCCCCAAAGGACAAAGTCATCCAGCAACATCTCTAAAATAAAGTGCCATCTAGTCACAACCAATTTATGGCAACGGTCAGAGGTGGTTTGCCCTTGTCTGTCTCTGTGTAGCAACCCTGGACTTCTTTGGTGAGCTTCCATCCATCATGGCCAACCCTGCTTAGCTTCTCAGCTCTGCCAAAGTCAGGCTAGTCGGGGCTATTCAGGCTGCCCACATCACTGTATATTCTGAAAAAAAACAACCTAAACCAAAACCAGCTGGGAGGGATGCCTTCTGTCCTGGAGATTTAAGGATGGCCTTGCATCACTGTTCCCATGAGTTGCTTCATGTTTCCTAAACAGCAATGCACACACTGATTGGCTCATCTAAGCCACGGAACTTGTTCTGAAACTAAATAAAGCATTTTTCAGGAGGTATAACATTATATAACTTAGTTAAAAATAATTTAAGAAAATGCAACCTCCTGCAGCACTGCCCAGAAGCAACAGCTGTTAGGTTACTGGGTAGAAGAGTTTATTTTCAGATCACGGGGGGGGGTTCTAAAAACTAATCCTATTTTTTTAAAGAGTCAATCACTTATCATTTAACAACTGAGCAAAATGACAACATTTAGGTAGTAGGAGTATGTTAAATTGCTGGGGGGGGGGAGGATAGCAAAGAATCCTTTTAGGAATAGACAGGAGAGCAATTCTAGGCACCAGGGGCTGGAACCTGGTGTCTGTAATGATTTGCCAAGCCCAGCCCCCTCTACCACACCACAACGATGTATTGCACTGTACTTCTAATGCTTGATCTCCGAAAGACATTTCTTTCCTCTCCCTGTGGTTCTTTATGGCTCTTACCCCAAGGGCCCTGACCTGGATAGCCCAGGCTAGCCCGATCGCATCAGAACTCGGAAGCTAAGCAGGGTCGGCCTTGGCTAGTATTTGGAAGGGTGACCTCCAAGGAATACCAGGGTTGTGACCCAGAGGCAGACAATTTTGGGGGGGAGGTTTGAATCCCTAGTCTTAACATGGAAGACTGCTGGATAACATAGGCAAGACTACCTCACAGGGTTGTTGTTACGAGGAGGAAAGAAGTATGTCACAAGCTGCTTTCTCTCTGTTGAGGAGAATAGTGGAATAAATAAATTAATTAAATTAATAAATTAAATTAAGATAGATCCAGGTGGGTAGCCGTGTTGGTCTGAAGCAACAGAACGAAATCGGAGTCCAGTGGCACCTCGAAGACCAACAATATTTTATTCGGGGTATGAGCTTTCGTGTACACGCACATTTCTTCAGGACAAAGTTATCAACGCCATGGGAAAATGAACGCAAGACGCCTGCACTCTGAATCAGACCCCTCAGTCTGTCATGGTCAGCATCGTCTACTCAGACTGGCAGTAGTGTTCCTGCGTCTCAGTAGGAGGGTTTTCACATCACCTACCACCTGGTCTTTTCAAATGAAGATGCCAGAGTTTGGAGACCGTTTGCATGGTATTACTGAGCCACGTGGCCCCTTCCCTACCTGGACCCTGCAGCATGCAAGGAACTCAGAGGCAGACCCTTCCCTTGCCTTCCCCCAGCAGCCTCACAGACTCCCCGAAAGTCAAAACGAGGGGCTCCCTGGCAGATACAGCCTCTCAAGAGAGGAGCCGAGGCATCTGTGTCATTCACAAGGGAGCAAAGTTCGAATCCAGTGGCACCTTTAAGACCAACAAAGTTCAATTCTGGGCATAAGCTTTCATGTGCATGCACACCTAACTTGTACCCGGAATTAAACTCTGCTGGTCTTAAAGGTGCCACTGGACTCAAACTTTGTTTTATTGCTTCAAACCAACACTGCTACCCACCTAAATCTACATTCACAAGAGAGGTTCTGCAAAGATGGCATCCGTTAATGAAGGCACTCTGTACGTGCTCACAACATACCCACTCTGGTTCAGTATAACCAGGGCTTTTTTTCTGGAAAAAGAGGTGCCGGAACTCTCAAGAGGGAAATGAAGTTTTCAATCTGTATACTGAAAACTCATGCACTTTTAAACATTAAAAAAAAATTTTTTTGCTGAAGAGGTTCCGGAATTCTGTTCTGATGCATTCTCCCAGGAAAAAAAGCCCTAAGTATAACCAAAGCTAAACAAAACACCACGAGCACAACTAATGCCGTGGGAGGGGAAAAAGTCTGGGAACATTTACATGGGCTATTCGGCAGAACTGGTAATGGATCGGTGAAGGGTCGGCGATCTGCCCCCCCGGGCTGCCTCCTCTCCCCTCCCCCCCTCCTCAAAGCGGCACTTCCCATCCCATAATACACATGAACACATGAAGCGGCCTCATACTGAACCAGACCCTTGGTCCATCAAAATCAGATCCTTTCCCACCACCTACTAGAAGAAGAAGAGGAGGAGAAGAGATTGGATTTATACCCCGCCCTTCACTACCCAAAGGAGTCTCAGAGCGGCTTACAAACTCCTTTCCCTTCCCCTCCCCCCACAACAGACACCCTGTGAGGTGGGTGGGGCTGAGAGAGCTCTGACACAAACTGCTCTTTTTCAAGGACAGCTGTGCCAGAGCTTGTGACTGACCCAAGGTCACATCAGCAGGTGTAAGTGGAGGAGTGGGGAATCAAACCCGGTCCTCCCACATTAGAGTCTGCGCACTTAACCACTACACCAAACTGGCTCTTTTAACTGGAGATGGCAGGGATTGAACCTGGGACCTTCGGCATGCCAAGCTGATGTTCTACCAGAGCCCCACAGAAACAGCAAGACCCGAATGAGAAGCAAAGGGCTAAGAGAGGAAAATAAAACAATCTCACTTTGGTGTTTTATTGGAAGTCTCTTCAGAAAGAGGAACTGCTGCCAGACACACACACAGACACACATTCCTTCCCAAGCAGAGGAAGTGCACGCTTGGCAAGCACAGTAAGAACTGCAGCAAAAACAGCTGGGGGGGGGGGAATCCCCACACCAGGGCCTCAATCCATGATCCATCGGTGCCTCGAAGCTGGTAACTGCAGTGCGCTACAGGCTGGAGAGATTCTCCATTCTTCCCAGCTCGCGCTGGCCCAGGGAGGAGTGTATTGCTGCTTTGGGATCCTTTGGTTTCCTCGGAGATGCCTTGCCAGTTCCAGGAGAAGAAAGGGGACAAGTGCAAGTCCGTGGCCCTGACCGGGTGCTAGGCTTTGTGCACGGAGTATTTACCCTTCTGGAGCTGGGACACATAGATTTTGGTCTTGCTGCCGTCCTCCCTGCGGAGCCAGACTTCTCCAGTGCTGATGGCTGTGATCACGGCTCTAGGGGAGAGGGACAGGGAGCAGCAGAGGTGAGCGACAAAGATCTCAGACCAAACCAAACCTCCGCCTGTCCTCTTCAAATTCCTCACTGCTTCTGTGAACCCTTTTGTTCACCCACCACCCCCGTTTCTCACTACTATGGCCTGTATAGCTTGCATCTGCCTCACTACCCCCACCAGGCAAGTCTTACTTTGTACACATCTGGGGGGCAAGGACTACTGTCTTTTGGGCTCACGCTATGAAGGGCCGTGTACACCGATGGCCAGGTAAGAGCTGCACAGAACTGACAGCCCTCTAGGAAAGGGAACTGTTAGAAACAAGATGGGAGTTTTGAATGGATGGCTTGTTGAACTCATGCCTGTTTGAAATTACCCACGGTTGATTTAATGATGCACCGCTAGCTTGCGCCTAGCGTGACTGATCTGTGTTTCGTGGCATGCTAGGCTGATGGCGTAAGCGTGTGGGTGAACGTGGCTGGGTGCGATTGCATCCCCTTGAGGGCTGCGTGAGGACAAGCGGCAACAAGCAGAAGAGTCTGTTCTGTTGCCTGCGGTGAATGCAAGCTGCAAAAGCAGAAGGTAATTTTTTCCAGCCTGCAGGGAACTCAAAAGGGACACTGTGGGAGTGACGGCCTTCCCCCACGGCAGCCCTTCTATAGTGGAGGCTTGACTATTTTGTAGTGGCAGATCAGGCCCCACCAGGCCTCCAGAATCAGCCCACCCCATCCTTCTGATCAAAAGGGAAGGAAATGTTTTCACCAGGCTGACCCAAACAGAAGGCTGTGGTACCACCCGCCTGGATCTTGGCTCATCCCCACCCCGTCCCTAGACAGGAGGAAGACAGTGCAAAATTTGCACGGCCTGAGACCCAAAGGACTATGAGACCCGCAAAGGGCAAGGGAAGGGCAGAATTCCCTTTACCTCCTGCTGGGATTCGCCAACTCGAATTGTATCAGCCGCGTATCAGGGCTGCCGGTCCCCCCAGACCATTGATGGGGGATAAGGGTTGCCACCTCCAGGTTGGGAAACTCCTGGAGATTTGGGGTCGAGCTTGGAGAGGACAGGGACCTCAGTGGGGTACAGTACCACAGAGTCCACCCTCCAAAGCATCCATTTTCTCCAAGGAAACTGTGATCTCCATAGTCTGGAGATGAGCTGTAATTTCAGGGAATCCCCAAGTTCTGCCTGGAGGCTGGCACCCCTACTAAATATGTTTGGAGGCGAAATGAGGGGCTTTTGGATTGCCTCGGTGTGAGCTTAATAAACATTAACTCTGTATTCAAGAACTTATCGCCCGGCTTTCTCTCTGTCTCACTCCTTCTCCTCTGGAATGGAGTAAAAGCCCTGCTGTTCAGAGTAGATTTGGGCAGAGGAGGCCCAATCTCGCTTTCTGCTCATTTGCACTGGGCCTGGGCTCTTTTGGCTCCTTCCTACCTGTCTCTTTCTCCCATTGATTTGGAACTGGTGACCTCAAGATGTAGGCTGGCCTGGACAGCTGAAGGGAGCTTCAAGGTAATTGTGACTTTGTAGATAGCTAGCTCCTAAGCTAAACAGCCTGTTCTATATTTTAACATCTGATAGAGCATGTATAGAGAGGGGGACAGAGGATTTGCGTTTTACCTATTTCTTTTGTATACCTTGCTCAATCTGGTGCTGTGTTATAAGTATGGTTATGAGCATTTTCTTTTTAATAAATACCTTATAACATAAAAAAAAAAAGATGTAGGTGGATTTTCAGCTGCCAGGACTCTTCTTCCTCATCCTAACCAGACCAGCGCCTCGCTTCAATTCTGGAACATTAAATCCACTCCCATGGAGGGAGGGGAAGACTACTTTACCCACAGTCCCCCCTACCTCAAATTTCACCTCAGCCAGCATTACAGGGGCTGTGGCTCAGTGGCAGAGCATCTCCTTGGCATGCAGAAGGTCCCAGGTTATATCCCCGGCATCTCCAGTTAAAAGATCTGGCAGTAGGTGATGTGAAAGACCTCTGCCTGGGACCCTGGAGAGCCGCTGCCAGTCTGAGTAGACAATAATGCAGTTTCATGTGTTCATGTAAAGGATCCCACCCAGTACTTCCCTGTCTCAGTGGCCCTATACCACTGGCCTGCTGGCACAAAAAGGCACATGCTGTAGGCATGGGCAGCTATACAAGGGGATAGATTCTTGGAGGATAGGTCTATTTGGCTACTAGCCATGGTGAAAATGGGAACCTCCATGTTCAGAGGTAGTCAACCTCTGAATCCCAGTGCCAAGAAGCAAAATCAGGGAAGGCCTCAGCCTCTATGCCCTGTTGTTGGCCCTCCAGAGGAACTGGTTGGCCACTGTGTGAGACAGGATGCTGGACTAGATGGACCACTGGTCTGATACAGCAGGACTCTCCTTATGTTCTTATAACACAAGTTCAAGGCTCAGTCAAGGGAAGAGGGGGCAGTACAAGCCTATACCTTCTAAAACGTTGATGCATCTGGCCAGGGCTGCTTCTATGATCATTTTGCACCAGGGTCAAATTGAAAGTAATGGGAGCTGCACAGGAGCCCTAGCAAAGGCATCCTGTTCCAGTTTCTATTCTCTGCAGTATCTTTATAAGGTCTCTTTACTGCCACTACTGAATCTGTTTACCATGTCTCACCCTTTGCTTTCCATAACTAGATTATGTGTTAGTCTGCCCTGCTCATCAGCCAACAGCTGGACATGGTCCTCACCCACCCCTGAAGGGGCTTACTCTTTAATTGTTTGTTTTATTGCTGGCCTCTCCTTGTAACATTTCCCATCTTGTTGTTGCTTGCAGTTTTAAATATGAATATAGCTGCTATGGATTGTACAGTCTGTTGTATCTGATGAAGTGAGTTCTGAAAGCTTATGCTGGAATAAGTTTTTGTTAGTCTGTAGTGCTACTGGACTCAGCAGATTAAGGGGGCCACCCCCTTTGGAGTTCTCCTCCTTCCATGGGGAGGCAGTCTCAGACACAATGGGGCTTCATGGCTGATTGAGCCCAGTCTCCCCCCCCCCCCCCCCCCCCACCCTCCCCTTCGCGGGCACTCACTGGACGGGCGCCTCCTCCCCAACCTGCAAGGAGATGCTCTGCCCTTTGACGTAGACCTCGCCTTCGTAGTGGAGGTGGCCGTCTTCACAGTGAGCCGAGAACAGGGCCGGGGATGGCAGCTTCTCCGCCTTCACCGAGCCTGGAGGAAGGGAAGGAGAGGAAAAGCAGAAATTGAGGCTGCTAAGATGGTGGGCAGAGAAGGCAGCTGTAGTCGCTTAGGCATGGGGAACTTGGTGCAATGGGAAGGGAAGGAGAGGGTGCCGGAAGGAGGGGGGACAGGCCGTTTGCTGCCTGACCATGACAAGGAATTTATTGCTATGCTTGATTCTGTTCATTTAGGGGTCAGCTGATACACTTCCTCCCATTACAGATGTGAAACATCTGGATGCCACAAGGAGACTTTTTAAAGTGGGAAATGCCAGTTGTTCGTGTGAACACAACAAGGAGAATTGCGGCATCTCAACAAAATTAAACGAGAGTCCAGTAGCACCTTGAAGACGAACATCATCTAGTCCAGCATAAGCTTTTATTACACCTGTGGCAGTGAGTTCTGACTCAAGCCAGCTCACGTTCCAATCAGTTTTGTTATCTGTTAAGGTGCCACTTTTACTGCAGTGGCCTAACATGACTACCCCTCTGTAATTAACGTCTAACGGATTCATGGTGGTGGAAACTTTCAGCGACTAGAACCCACTTGGTCGAGGAACACAGAACGCTACCCTAAATGGGCTGATTACAGAACTCATGTAAAACAAGTGGCCTTGAACTTTCCCTGAGACACACAGAAGGCAGCATATGAAGACATTTGATTAAAACAGCGTATAAAAAGATCACCACTGACACGCCAGCGCAAGAACCGTTCAAAACCAGCAACCCCCAAATAAATCAAAGCCAGTCCATGAAAGAAGCATCCAGCGTTGTAAAATGCATGAAAGCAGCACTGTGCCTTTTAAAACAAATGTTGGTCAGGAATCACAGGAGCCAGAAGCGTCTATTAAAAATTATGTAAGAAGATGCCTATTTTTTAAAAAAAGCTAGGGAAGCAAACCTTTCTGCCTGGTGCCCCCCCCCCAAAGTAAATTGTGATTTGCCATCAGGCAAAATGCCGTAGGGAGCAATTTCTGAAGTCTGAGTGCCACAACAGGGGAAGACCCTGTCTCTGATTCTCACTAGCGGCCACAGACAGTGGGGGGCACACAGCGCAGGCCCTCTGCAGAAGGTGGGAGCACAATGGCCCCTGCTCGATTGACACAGGGCAGGGTTTTTAAAAGATTAAACTCTGCTTTAAATTGAGAAGCAAAAGAGGGGCCAGTAAAGATTTCATAGCCTGCAGCCAATCTCACTGCTGCGTTTTGAACCATATGAAATTTACGGACGGTCTTCAAAGGTTGCTCCTTGTAAAGTGCATGGCAGTTGTCCATCCTGAATGTAATTAACCCATGGGCTAACTCTCAAAAAAGGGCAACAGCTGGTTCAAGGCACCTACATGCTACAGAAGACGTTTGCCCCTCCATCTGCAGACCTGTGACTAATAGCAACAAGTCCTGGATGAAGAGAAGCAACCTTGCTGATAAATTTTAGTTGAGCAAAATTGCTGAACTAGAACTTATTGGCAAGCATGACCCTGTTTGTTGAACTTGTTCCTTTCTATTAGATGTTTGAAATTAGCCTACCAAAACAAGAAAGGCTGTGTGTGACTGCCAGTTCTGTCATGAATGGGGATGCTGTTCTGTCTTGTATACATCTGGACAGTTCAAAGAAACAACACAGGCAAGACCTCTTGCCCACTGTTTACAATTTCTTCTCTCCTTGCCCACATATATACACACATCAGCTGAGGATAACACTCCTTATTTCTGGCAACAGCGCTTCCTGAATCTATTCCATGAAAATGTCTGCCACAATAAATCAATTTGTCTGCTACATGACACAAGACCCCGTTTTTTTGTTTTTACCAAGACAAACATACTTTATTCTTTGGAATCCATTACTTCCAGGAATTCATCCACTTTAGGAAGACAGGCTTCCTAGCTAATAGATTTCAGAAACCATTTGTAATTCGGAACGGGGGTGGGGCAGGGGAAGTGAGGAAAGGAAGGCTTTTAGGTGGCATGGTGCTTTGCGTGTGCTTCTCCACCATCTGCATACCACAACCAATTAAGTAACCTAGCCTTGCTCCCTTCTGCATAAATTCACTTTGCTTCCACACCCTGTTGTGTTCCAAATAACTGGGCCTTTTTCTGTGAAGAGAGGAGTGGCAGGAGCAAAGGGTGGAAGGAAGGTTGGGGATGCCCAGGATGAAAAGCTGCAGAGGGCTCCAGAACAACTTCCCATCCACCCCTAGTCATCTCAGAACTCAACAGACACTGTCCACATATTTTCCAAGTTCACCTTCATGACCGTCAGGACTTGAAGCTTGCTTTTTTTTTAAAAAAAAAAAGTAATCCAAGACCCTGAGGAACACTACATTTGATGCAAAGATAAAACCATTCAGAGCACAACAAGCCCTTAAGGACCTGGGGAAGGGTGGTTGCAACTGGATCAGTGCTCTGGTTAGCTACGCATTCTCCCAGACATGCTGCTGCATGGACAGCAGGAAAAGAAAAGAGTACCACACATTTCTCCTTTGCACCAATTCTCCTCGCAGCCAGGGGGAAAGAACAAAGCACTTGCCTTCTATCTTCCTCTTCGGAGGGGACACTGCGGATTTAGCCTGGGAAGGAAGAACAAGGCAGTGAGAAGAAGACCCTCGGGTACTGTTCTCTGCTCCAAGGCAGAGACCCAGCCGGAGTCAGATAAAGGGATTGGGGAGGAAACCCAGACTTCAGCCCCCTTCTGCCAGCACTGGGGACGGAATATATTAAGATCAGAGCATCAAAGTATAGCTAAGGGACTGGGAAGCCCCCAATCTGAATCTCCTCTCAGCCTCAAATTCACTAGGGGGCGCTGGCTCTCTCCCAACAAGGAGATTTGCAATATGGGGATAACAATAACCATTCAAGCTGATCCCACAAGGAAGTTTATAGTAATTAGAGATATACCTGCAACAAGCAACATATATCCTTGCTATTATTGTGGTATATATGCTGGAATCCTTATTGTCACATTATATATTAGAATCATTAAAAAGAGAGACTTTTCAAATTCCACAAATGGATCTGCTCCTCAGACTGCACTTTTAAACTTCCTTTAATGAATCCTCACCAGTCCAGGAAGTATTCCCTTTCAGAATTAAACACAGCTGGGCTGGATTTTCTAGGCAACTTCCCAACCACACACAAGGACACACATGAAGCTGCTTTCTATTCAATCAGACCACTGGTCTACCAAGGTCAGGACTGTCTACTCTAGTTGACAGTCTTGGGCAGAGGTCTTTTGCATGACCTGCCACCTGATACTTCCAAACTGAAGAATCCAAGCTCTGAACCTGGGGACCCTTCCACACACAAAGTTGGATGTTCTACCACTGAGTGCTGGTCCTGCCCCATGCTGCATTTCATAACACTGTAGTCACCCTTTCAAAGAAAGAAAGAAAGAAAGAGAGAGAGAGAGAGAGAGAGAGAGAGAAAGGAAGAAAGGAAGGAAGGAAAGAGAGAGAGAGAGAGAGAAACAGAGAGAGAGAGAGAGAAACAGAGAAAGTAGACCTGTGGGCCTCCCTCTTCCCCTCTCTCAGCACTGAGAATAGTTCAAATCCCTGCCCTCCCCAATGCTATTTTCCAGCTCACCTTTTTGATGGCTGTCCAGTCCTCCATGATGTCAATATCACGCAACATGTAGACAATGTAGGGGCGTGGGAAAGGTGAGTTAAGGGTGTGCCACTGCATCTGCTGCCATGAAAACAACTCCTGCATCTCCCACCCCACCCCAAACTGTGGTCAGTCTTCTGGCCAGCGCAGCTTCTCTCACCTCTGCCCATGCTGAAATTCCCTCTTCCAAACAAGCACGGAAGTTGCCCGAGCCCTCTGCCCCACCTGATCAGGAAGAGCGAGCATCAGTAGCAGCTCTCGCCTCAAAACTATCTTTGGGACTGGAAGTACAAAAGGATATCAGATACCAACGGTGGCTTCTTCCTCTTGCCAGGCCGGAGAGAGTCCCATTCCTTTGCACTGTGCTTTGGCCGAAGTTTGTCATCCCACCATTCTAGAAGAAGAAATTAGAGATGAAAGCATTAACCCCGGGGGGGGGGGGGGGAGCAAGAGACACCACCAAAAGGGACTGAGAGCTCCAGAATCTGACCAGTCATTCCCACATTACTACCTTTGATGGAACAGACACACATCCAGACATATTGGATATTTGTTACCAGAACAATTTGGAGAGCGTGTGCAGTTACCGCAGTTACCATGAGAGATTATCCATGGCCTACCGTGTAAACCTTTAGCAATTGTGCACCACGTGAGAAAGCAACACCTGGATCTAAAGCAATCCCCCCCATATCTTTATTTCTGGATGTGTGTTGTTTTACAACAGTAATATTGACCACTGAGGAAGGCCCTAAGGGGCCAAAATGTGTATGGTCTACTGGTGGTCATATGATATACCCATAAATTGTGTATGTGAAACTAACAGCTCTGCATGTAAAAAGTTTTAAGAGTCTGATATTTGGATCATTTCTTTTAACCTATTTTATTTTTTACTAATGTGTGCACCATAATAAACATTTGTATTTTATAATACTTTATTTTGTTAGCTTGATATATCACAGTCATTCCCACATGCCTGGGAATTCTGGTAACTGTAATTTTGTGCAGGAAGCTATGAATTTCCAACAGACACTTTTTGTCACCCATATGAAACAACAATTCCCAGGGTTCTTTTGTTACCCTTTAATTGAACATTTTAATGATACAGCAGCAGCACAAGAGAAAACCTGCAACTGAGCTGTGAACATTAAAAAAATAATGAGATAGTTCACTATGAATACCTTTGTACTGTCTAGTATGCAGATTTTTTTGGCTTCTTTGCCTGATATAAAATAGAGCCAAGTTTGAACAGAAAAATGACTATTCTTGTCCGCCACCATTGACTGTGTGAATGTAATTCAAAAAAGCCTCCCACACCTGGTGGCTTTCTGCACAGGACAACACAGAGCTTGGGTTGTCTCTATGAAGATATTCAATAAAAAAAATTAAAGAGCTAAGTGGAATCCCCCACCAGCCCCCATAAAGAAGAATCAGCTGAGGTTTACGAGGAATTTCATGGCTAAGTAACGTCCTGGTTTTTCTAAACAATTATTTGCCACCTCCCCCCATTGCACATGAATGCATAACCACCATATGTGAAGTTCTGTGCCCATCAGGTTGTAACCTTCCCAGCACTTAAAAGTGACGGATCTGAAGTGGAACAGTGTATTGAGCCTTTCATTCCTGGGTAAGGTAGTCGAGAGAGCCGCTCCAGACTTTTTTGGAGGATACATCAGCTCTGGACCCATTTCAATCCGGCTTCCACCCTGGCCATGGGTCAGTGCTGGTCACTCTCATAGATGACCTTTGAGCTGGATTGAGGCGGCTCAGCACTGGTGCTATTGCTTGATCTGACAGCAGCGTTCAACATGGTCGATTATGATCTGCTGAGCCACCGCCCCGCCAATGTGGGGATTTGTGGGACAGCCTTGAAATGGCTCGTCTCTTCTCCCAGGTCGGGGACAGAGGGTGGCGCTAGGGGAGACGGTTTCACCATGATACCCTTTGGTGTGTGGTGTTCCCCAAGGGGCAATCCTCTCCCCAATGCTATTTAACATCTATATGCGCCCCCTCGTCCAGCTACTACAGAGTTCCAGGATGGGTTGTCATCAGTATGTAGATGATACCCAGCTGTATCTATTGATGAGTGGCCGGCCGGATGCTGCCCCAGATATTTTGGCCAAAGGCTTGGAGGCTATGGTTAGCTGACTGAAATTAAGTCCGTCTAAGATGGAGGTCCCGTGGCTGGGCTGGGAGGACTCTGGGTTAGGGTGCCAACTCCCGGCTCTTGACAGTGTGCCTTTGACATCAGTGTGCCTTTGACATCATCTGTCAAGAGTCTGGGTGAGATTCTGGATGCCTCCCTCTCAATGGAGGCCCAGATCACAAATGTGGCCAGGCTGGCATTTTTCCACCTGCACCAGGTTAGACAACTGGCCTCCTTCCTGTCTTGCCCTGACTTAGCCACAGATTAGACTACTGTAACTTACTGTATGCAGGCCAACCCTTGAGGCTGACCCAGAAACTTCAACCGGTCCAGAATGCAGTAGCATGTGTTCTTATGGTAACCCCATTTAGAGCTCATATCCGATCGGTGCTCCGCCAACTGCACTGGCTCCAGGTTAAATACCGGATCAGGATCAAGGTTTTGGGATTGACCTTTAAAGCCCTAAACTGTCTGGGACCAACGTATCTGCAGGACCACCTCTCCTGGTATGCCCCCCAAAGAGCACTACGCTCAATGGATGACAACGTACTAGTGATCCCTGGCCCGAAAAATATCCAGCTGTCCTCAACCAGAACCAGGGCTTTTTTGGCCCTGGACCCGACCTGGTGGAACTCGCTGTCGAATAAGACCCAGTCCCTGTGAGATCTGATGCAATTCTGTAGGGCTTGTAAGACTGAGATGTCCCACCAGGCCTATGGGTGAGGACAACATTTCCATTAAGACTGGCCTCCCTTCTTTTCTTCTCCACCCCCGTTCCATTTCCCTTTCCTTTGGCCGTTACTCTCTTAGTTACTTAATCCGTATGATATTTACTCCCCTTCCTGGCTAAGGGGCATTATGCTGTGCTCCCTTCTTATGTGCCACTGTACTGGTTGTTAGTAGTACTGTTAAGAATTGTTTTTAATAAGTTAATTTATGGCTATTGTTGTTATCCGGCTCTGAGCCCTTCCTATCGGTTAAATTGAATAATTGCATTATTACATTTTATCCCATCCTTCCTCTATAAATGTTTATGTATGATGCTTCCTCCATCGCTGAGCAGGGATTTCAACCAATATCTCCCCAATCCAACCACTACATCACATAACACTGACAGAAAGCAACTTTGATATGTACAACTGCCCGTCCCAATTTAATTCACAAGATTCTTTGAGGGAAGGCGTGACAAATGTGTAGATATGCCAGAGTGACCCCTTCGGAAAGATGCTGTCTATTGATAAAGAACATTTGATTTCCTATTCGTCTTTTAGTCCAGGTGGGTCTGCATGTCTGAATGGGGGGGGGAGGGGAGGAGGAGATTGGATTTATACCCCATCCTTCACTTCCTGAAGGAGTCTCAGAGCAGCACAATCTTCTTTCCCTTCACACAACAGACACCCTGTGTGGTAGGTGGGTATGAGAGAGTTCTTTCAAGAACTGCCCTTGAGAGAACAGCTCTGAGAAAACTATGACTGACCCAAGGTCATGCCAGCAGCTGCATGTGAAGGAGTGGGGAATCAAACCTGGGTCTCCCAGATTAGAGTCTGTACTTCTAACCACTACACCAAACTGGCCTGCTGAATCAGACCAATGGTCCACTGAGTCCACCATCCTGTCTCACACAGTGGCCAACCAGTTCCACTGGAGGGCCATAAACAAGGCATAGAGATCGAGGCTTTTCCCTGAGGTAGTCTCCTGGCTCTGGGATTCAAAGGTTTAGTGCCTTGGAATCCCAGAACCAGGAGATTGGGGTGTGTGTGTCAAAAGGCAGGTCAGAATTCAGGAGGGCAACAGCAACCACAGGGGACAGTGTGTGTGAGTGCGAATAAAGAGGGCACTCCCTTACTGACCTGAGGTGAGGCCCACACTGTGCCTGTCATCTTCCAACCGCTGGATCCGTTCCAGCAGACGCTCCTGAAGGGTGTCATACAGCAACAGCTTTTCGCTCTGGGTGGGGAAACAAAGCACAGTCTGTCTTTTCTGTTTCTGCCCCTCATTGTGGCCTCTACTGATTCAGGGCCCTGTCTGGTCTCTGGCTGTATTAAAGTAAGGGCTACCCACCACCACTTCCTTTACTTAGACATTCTGCCTTCTAGGAAATGTGCGATTCCAATTAATTCCAATTAATGTCAGAATCAGAGTCAACTAACTGTTACTACAGTTATCAACAGGCCTGGAGGGGGGAAATTCTGCCTCTTTAATAGGGGCTTAATGTGTAGAAATGGACATCTGAATTTTTTCACAACATAGATGAAAAATTAACATCACCTGGTAAATAACATCACATTAAGCCTCCACTAAAGGGGCAAGACATTTCCCTCCAAGCAATCATGTTAACTTGTCTTCTCCATGAGCGGCTGTTACTACTTTGTCTTGGATGTAACCAGAGATCTTTTGCCCTAGAGCATAAATCCACATCTATTTCCCTTTACCACGTGTTCCTAAATTTGATACGTTGGGGGTCTCTGTGCAACCTGCATTTTTATCCCACCTTTCTTCTCCCCTCCTCCATTTTGAACTAGCAACCACCATGAGAGAGGTCAGGCTGAAAGATTAGCTCAAGGAAGCTTCACGGCCAAACGTGGACTTGAGCCCAGGATCTCCCCAGCCCAACATTCCAACCGCTCCACAACACGGGCTCACTGCCCAGCTGGAACCCTGTCAGAAAAGGCTTACAGGACGCTGACACCAGAATTTCCGCTAAGCTCGCAAGATCCAATTCTATGCGCAATCACCGTTCACTTGTGAAAGGTTACAGTGGCTGCTCTTGCCAAACCCCTCTGTGGTGAAGAAAGCGAGAAGCTTCCCTTGAGACACACACTGACCAAAGGTAGCTTCTGCTCTAATCAGGCTGATTACAACACACATTGTACTCCTGCAACATCCTGAGTTACGTCTTTCCAACACCCCTCCCACCTTCTGACTGGGATATAAGGACTTCGAGATCTCTGTTCCTGTACATATCTGACAAAGGAAACTTCGACTCTCGAAAGCTTATACTCCGGAAATCTTGTTGGTCTCTAAGGTACTACCAGACTTGAATCTTAACTGATCAAAGGTCTACTTCAGGAGAGAACTTGAAACTGGAAGATCCCCCTCTTCCCCAAAAATGCCTAGGGCTTTTAGCCTGCTGAAGAGCTGACGACTTTGCCATTGCCATCCTCCCCCCATTAAGTCAAGCTGACTGTCAAGCTGACTTCTGGTGACCCCTAGTGGGGCTTGAAGGCAAGGGACAGTCAGAGGTTTGACTCTGAGAAGCTTATACCCTGGAAACCTTGTTGGTCTTTAAGATGTTACTGGACTCGAATCACATCGAAGACTGTTTGCCAAGCTGACCGACTGCATGCCAGCTCGGTGGCTCTTGCGCTCTCCTTTGGGCTCACATCCCCACCCCAGATGTAGCCTCAGAACGGAAAGAGAGGAACATTGGTTTGCTGCCTCCTCCCTCCCCCCCTCCCAGGACAAACCCCTGCACTTCCTTCGGCCAAAGCTGGCTTTAAACAGGTCAGTGCTGACTGGGCGTGCCCCCATCCACAGGGGACTCTGCAATCCAGTTGGGTCCCTCCAACATGGTGGCCGTACCTCCCACAGCTCAGCCTGGTTAGGTGAACAGCAGCGCTCAGCATCACCATGGCAACTGCTGCCTCCTTCCCCAACTCCTATGCTGCCGAGGGATCTGCCAGGTTGGGTGTGTGTGCGTGCTCCTTTTAATGTGCAACTTAAAACCCACTCTCCATATTCCATGACAGAAACACGGAAAATTATGTGTTGTCCTCCTCGGCAATGTTTTGCTTTACAGAAAGCCAACGATGCTTTAGCATAACGAGCCTCTGCCTAGCTGCGTGTTCCATAAAAGCAGGGAACTCTGTGGCTGCAAACTGGGTGCCCTCAGACCGCCGGCTGGCAGAAGAAGCTACTCCTTTTGGACAAAAGTGATCGAATTATTCCACAAAGAGCACCTTGAGTCGCTGCCTTAAGAAGATGGTGCTGCTGAAAACTTCTGTGCCTCCCATATGTTTGTATGGGGGGGAGAGGAAAGAGCCCTCCTGAAGCAGGAGAACAGACCGTCTGGTCCAGCATCCTGTTTCCCACAGTGACCAAAGAGATACCCTGGAACAACCACCAGCAAAGGCACAGAGGTCAAAGTCCCCACCCCCAGCAACTGGTTTCTCAGCATAGGGTTTTTCCTTTTTTCAGAGCTTCAGGAATGAGTTCTGAGAAACATGAAAGTTAAGTCCATTGTCTGGCAACCTAATGAAGGTCCCAGGATACCGTTCCTGTTTGAATTTCTTTCCAGCTACAGCTACCACCAATCAGAAAAAGGGTGTTACGTCCTTGCTGTTATTTGGAAACTCCAACCCCACCCCAGAAGTGATTATGAAACACTCCTTGCTTCATAGGGTCTGAGAAGGATTTTAAAAAGGGACGAGAGATGAGGGTCCCAACCTCCAGATGCTGCTGCGCTCCCTGAAGTTCACACCGATGTTTGTGATGAATCACCTCCAGGCAGAAGTTTCTGTAGATCCCTACGAAAACAAAAAGGGTCAGAGACAGACTCTTCGTCCTAATATGAGCTGCAGCCAGCCCTGAAACCTTCTGCCAATGTCACGTCCTAGCCGTGGAAAAGGATGAGTTCCTCCGAGCATGGGCTGAATGTATGCATTTCCATTGCTGCTATGTGACGAGACCGGCTTCTCTCTTTTCAGAAATTAATGACTGCCCCAATTCTTAGAGGCTCTCTCCTCTCTTCACTGCCACTGCCGGCCCCTCTGCTAGCAAGGATCCTGCTCACCAGCCACTTCGATCCGGATCTGCATGTGGTTCTGTAGGACTCCCAGAGGCTCCAGATACTCCACTGCTTTCCCAAGCATCACATCCTCCAGTTTCATCTTCACTTGATTCAGGCGCTCCTTGAAAAGCCTGCAGAAGAGCACAGACACATTCACCCAAGATTCTTATGGAAAGGGTTCCAAGGTGTGTGTTTGGGGGGTGGGGTGTAATTCCTACACCTGCAGAAAATAAATCATGATTTTTCTGGTCAGCTACATGCCTCTGGGAAGCTCATAAGCAGTACAGACAGACAACCTTTATTGGCATATCAGAGATAAAAGTACATTAAAATTTAGGAATACATCAAAAATGTGGCTGTCATACAAACAAACAGCAAGAAGAAAAACCTGATCAGTTTATAGTTTCCCTGATTTGAATTGCAGATTGAAGAAAACAGGCAACATTAAAGGTTATATAAGAATTTTGCCCTGAGAGTAGCAATTGGACTTTGACAGTCTCAGGGAGACCACACCATGTAAAAAGAAGGGAGTCCAGAAATTTATCCCGGGTCTTAGTATAAAATGGGCAATTTAAAAGAACGTGGGAAAAAGATTCAATGGCACCCTGACTGCAAAGGTCTAAATTCATAAGGGATTTTATGGCATCTTCCAGAGAAGATAGCCAATGGCAATACGTTAAATCTGGCTAACAAATGCCCTTCTTTGATGGGGGTCAGTTAAAGAGCAAAAATAAGTAGCTGTCTGGCCCAGTGTCTGGGGTGATCCCAGATGAATTGCAGAACAAGTTTTCCTAGCTCCCTCCTTCAGGCACTGAAATTGAATATATAAAAACCTGCATTTGATTGTATGACATATTGTGGAGGCAGATGATAAATAAAGCAGATCTAAAGGTATTCCTAAGGACCTAATTTTTTTTTTTACTAATTTCAGCCAATTAGGTTCACAGTGATCTGTCAGCATTAAAAAGGTAAAAGAATTCGGGTCAGGATTAAACAGAAGGCGCAACCAAAATTTGATGGTCAAAAGCCAGGCCTGAGTTTCCAGGCAGGGACATCTGACCAGTTTCGAGACACATCGCGGCATATGGGACACAATTAAGAAGACCAAGGATTTTCCACACACAAAAAAATTTGTAAACCCTCTGCTGATTGGTTAATTGCACTTATCCAAATGGGAGCGCCATATAGGAATTGTGAACTAGATTTTGTGTTGAAGACTTTTACAAGGTTTGATTCCCCAGTAGATTAAATTTAACCTGACAACTGATATGTAAATATGGGTTTTTTATTAAAAAAAAAAAAGCAATCTGGAATCTATATTCATTCTAGGCATCTTATCCCATAAGAGGTCTCTTGGGATTGAAACAAACGCCACCTTAAAGTCTAAAAAGGCAGCAAAAAGCTTATTGCCTGGTTTCCCACTGTATTTAGTAACAAGGTGTGATAATACTGCACAGTGGTCCAGAGTGGATTTACCCCAATGAAACCCTATTTGTTGTGGTCCTAGGATATTATGGTCAGACGTCCATCCATCTAGTTTAATTAGAAGATGTTTGGCATAAAGTTTGCCAACTACTGATAAAAGTCTAATCGGTCTATAATTTTCGGGAGATGAAGAATCACCCTTTTTAAAAATGGGGACAATGATTGCATTTGCCCATGACTTTGGCACTATTCCAGTGTTATTTATAAAGTAGCCAAAGGAGGGGCCCACCATTCTGGGTGAGACTTCAATAGTTCTGGGGGAACTGCATTAGGGCCAGGGGCTTCTTTTGGTTTAAGGCATGTGATCAAGGTAATAATATCCTCAGGGGACAAAGGTGGCCACTCGGTGGTCTTGAGGGCATCGGGTTCAGTGGGTATGGAAAATTTTTCACCATTTTCATTTAAAAGGTTTTAAAAATATGAAAACCAGGTACGGGAGGAAAGTGATGGTGATTAAATTAATTTCCCCCAAGAGCCTGAAGTTAAGGCCCAAAATTTCACACTGTCGTTTAACCTGGATGCCCTGATCAATAGTTCCCACTGGTCCCTGGCAAACTGGAGCTTCTTGGCTTTGACTAAGTCTGACAGCTGTTGTTTAACAGTAAAGTATTCCTTCAGTAAGGAAGACTTTTTCTGGCTCCGGTAACGGTGATAAATGGAACGGAGAGTGGACTTCAGACATAAACATTCTCTATTGTACCATGTGTTATGTTTGGGTTTATGTTTAGAGACCAAAAAGGGAACAGGGTTAAGTAGGGAAATAAAACTGGAGACTAAATTATCATATGAAGCTACCGCTTCAGTGGGGTTTGAAGAAGTCATAAGGGAGGAACTCAAGTCAATAATCACCTGCTCAGAGGCTAATAGCTAGACTCTCTCAGTGTGGTTATGTGACCAAATGAATCTAGGGGGGGACTCAAAGGATAAGTCATTAGCTGTAGGGGCTAAGTCAGGTTCAAGGTGTATCTGAGGGGTAATTGAGAGGCTTAGAGGGAAATGGTCGCTCTCAGTGCGGGCATCAATATAGAACTGAGAAGCGGTACATAAAAGAACACCCTGTGGTATGTACCCATCATCTTGTGCTCAGAGATATACTGCCTTTGAACATGCAGGCCCCAATTCTAACTACCATGGACAGTAGCAATAATCCTCCAGAAATCCATCTAATTCTTTATTAGAACTGCCCTCCTGGAAGCAAACCAATGGTCCATCTAATCCAGGATTTAATGTTCCACAAGGGGCAGATAGATCCCTCTGTGTGTGTAGTGGTGCTGGCGCTTAAATACAGGTCATGGTGCTGACAGCTATCACTTGTAGTTCACCCCTAGCTCATGAATCTGCCCCATACTGAATCAGACAATCGGTCTACTGAGTTCAGTATTGTCTACTCAGACTGGCAGCAGCTCTCCAGGGTCTCAAACCGAGGTCTTTCACACCACCTACTGCCTGGTCTTTTCAACTGGTTATGCCAGGGATTGAACCTGGGACCTTCTGCATGCCAAGCAGATGCTCTACCCCTGAGTGACAGCCCCCTCCCCTCATGGCATACTGCCTCTGTACAGGGAGCTTCCATTATACAGACTTATATTCCACATTGCTCAGTGTATTTATGGGTCCATGTCCCTTAAAGGACTCACAACAACAGGAAAAAAACCACCCACACAAGGAGAACAACTAGTTCTTTGGAACGCGAGGGTGGAGAACAGACGGGGCAACTCTGAACGAAGCCAAGAACAGATGTGTGATGGTGTCTTTGCCTTCCTAGCTGCTGGCCACCCTTTCCTGATAGATCACTCTCCGTGAACACGTCTAATCCCTTCTGAAAGTCGCCTAAGTCAGTGTGAGCATGGCTGGTAACATCACTGAGACCTCCTTGTTCGGTTTGCCTCCTGGTGGCTTCACCAGATAAGTGACCAATTGAATTCAAGATAGCAATATGGCATATCTGAGTTTGCACAAGAACGTCTCTAGTAATCGGTAGCAAATTAAAACAGGTTATCTGCAATTTGACATTCGCTGGAGCCGGATCTAGGAATGATAAGGAAAAAATGAAGGATCCCAACCTCAGGTTTTCATCAGAACGGAAATGTGTGAGGGGACCTTCCAGGGGGAAACTGGTGGCCAAGACATAACCCCTTTCCCTGCCTACGAATTCTCCCCTTCCAATGAGTCCATCCCCACCCATTTGAATTGATCCCCACCCACCCCTGGCCTCAGATAACCAGAGTGGAGTGAAGATTTACAGAGAAGAACAGGCAATTCAAGCAAGGTTTATTAGCAAGTTATTGCCAAGACTTGTGTCCTGAGTAACTTTTAGAAACAGCCATCTCTTTTATGTGGGCATGCTTGTTTCCTTGAATGCTCCAGTCCTGCAGTACGGATTTGTTTTGCACCCTATAGGATCCCTGGAGATGGTTTGTTTTCACATTGCAGAGAGCCAAATTTTTAAAAAGCATGAGCCCACTGGGAATAATTTGGGATTTTATTATACTCGGTACGGTTTTTCATTTGGAACTGTAAGCCACAAGAGAAAGGCATGGTATAAATACTTTAATAAATAAATACAGGGGAACTCTCTCCTTACTCACGGCTCTGCACCTGATCAGGCTCTTTGTAGGGTGAAAAGAAACCTTAAGATTTTCAATCGAAAACTCTAGAATTGTGAATTGTTTGACCCGTGTGTGGAAGGGGTGGCAGAGACTGGACGTTGTCTCTGCTAGAAAGCTTGGCAGTTAAATTGCAACAGCTCAAGAAAGGCGCCCACTCACTTTTCTTTGATTTCAGAGAATTCCTTCTCCAAGTGCATCATCTCATCTACGCACTCTGAGCGACGTCTCTCACAGTCCTCTTCATCCATCTCTGCAGAAAGAACAGATGACAATTGCCATTCTCCCACTGTCCCTGAGCTTGCAGTGCAAGACAATTCAGCCACACTCGCTACAGAGGAATTTCTTTAAGCAAGGAGAACAGTGGAGGCAAGAAAGAGGCAGTAACCTTTTGAGCTACACAGAACTCTTCCCACTTCAAATATGAACAGGACTTCAGTGTAATCTGGATGCTTACTAACTTGCAGCCACCAGCACAGTTGGCCCGTTTTGATAATTACGGCCTGGCCAAAATGAAGAGAGAAAATCACAAATACTATTTTGTCAGTCCCAGTTGATGAAGCATTACAGTTAGTTAATGGAACATTCTTAAGTGAACTTAACAAGAGTTGTTTGAGAAGTGTTCTCAGACAGGGCAAATATTCCTTTCCTTCCTTCTGTTAAAATGCCACATAGGCTGAAACAGAGCAACCAACCTTATATTGTCAGAACAAAGTTGCAAAAAACCTCGCCACTTGAAAAGTAACATCAGAATCAAAATCTGAAAGGAGCCAGAAAATCTTAGATTCAACAGTCACACAAGCATCAGAAATAGATAAAAAACGGAGCAAGAGGAATTTATTCCTAGCCTCTGCTCTCAGAGGGCATTCAAAGACAATATGGGCTGTAGTCTCAATCCTACTTGTGTAACACTGGGAGATTCTATCTGGTGTCCGTGAATTTCTCCCATTTAACACTGTGGAAGGTAAAGAGTCCATGTATGCCAAAATAAAGGCTTGCCACAGCTTTGGAACCTTCAACATAAAAATATGGTGGTATTTTCCAATGGAAGGACAGTCCAAGTGCAATGGGAGAATAGACTCGTTGAGCACGTAAATAAGTAAATAAGATGTACTTTTACATAAGAATTATTATTTTGTCATGTAACATAAGGATACTCCATAATCATTGAAGTAAAGTGGTTAAATAGGGTATATTGTGGCAATTAGTGGAGGAAAACATTTTGGTTAGTTAAGTTATAAGCTGACATGTGGAAATTAAAGGTGTAACCATAAATAGGTGCTGGAAATTAAAGGTGTAACCATAAATAGCTGCTGGAAATAAATGGTTGAATAGTGAAGAAAAGAAGCTATACCAATGGATTTAATGAAAATTAGGGTGATGATTGATACAAAAAATATGCAATAGAAACAGGGAAAATTAATTGTCTAAAATTCTTGATGTTGACTCAGTTCTAGGAAAATTGAAAAGGTCAGTAGATATGGCACAGGAGTATAAAGGTATGGAATGCGTTATTAGAAATTTCATTGGAATAAGATCAGTTATAGAAATGAATTTATTGCCTAGTGTATAATTATGTAGAGGTATCAAAATTATGTATATCAATATATATGTATGTGTGTGTGTTTGTCTGTTTGTCAATATGTGTGGAAAATTAATAAATAGAATATTATAAAAAAATATGTACAACTGTAGTGCAATTCTGTAATACGGCCCTTAATTAATTTATACACCTCATTGGTAGGTAGACTCATTATGGTGTCTTTTGGCAAGTTTAAGGTGGACAACTTTAAATCCATTAATTCATCCCACGATGATACAAATGAGTCATTATGAATAAAAGGTAATAAACTGTGTCCCAGCTCAGGTTTGAGGACAGGGCAAAGAAAGACAGCCCACCACTCCCACAAGCTCCTCGCTCTCGTGGTTACAGAGGCAGGGAGACAGTTCCCAGTTGGAGTGGTGGAGCTGCAGTAGCAGCTGTCCTCAAAGCTAGCTGGTGGAGAAGAAGGACACAAAGGGAAAAACAAAAATCCCTCTTTTACTTCCCATTTATGACTTTTATCAGCACCAAGGTGTCTATATGCATATTTGAAAAATCAAAGGCAGTCTGGATAATCTTTTAGGACACTTCCTAGTGTTGTAGAAAGACCAGTAACATAACAAATCCTGAGCACAAAACAGAAGCTTTGCAGAAAACTGGCAGTTTTGCTTAGCCCCAAATCAGGTAAGCTCAACAAAAGTGAAAAACTTAAATAGATGCAGGCTGAAGACTTCTGAAGCCTTGGCAGGTACTGGTCATAAGAACACCGACTTCATTAGATTCTGCTGCCAAAGTTTATGGAACATTTACAAACATTACAATTGCTCCAAAGTTTAAAACAAAGTGCCCACAGACAATGGCTGGGGAAAAGGAGAGGTTGCATGGTGCTGGACAGGGAAAGGGCTCAACGGGGTAGGCAGCACGAATCAAAAGCCAACTTGTCGACTGTGCAAATGAACAAGGACATTTAGGTATGAAAACAGCAGGGGAATAGCATCGGTGACACTGAATATGTTGTTACTCTGCTTGCCTTACATAGGGTGGGGCGGGGGGAGGGTCATCCCTCAGAAGTGCTTAGTTTCAGCAAGGCTGCATTCTGTAGCTTCCAACTGTACCCTAGGAGTGAGCCTGGGATCTTCTGCATGCAGAGCAGGTATTCTCCCACTGAGCTACAACTTTGCCCTTGGCTCCCACGAAATCAATCTGAGGCTGCTTTTGCCCTGCCAGATACCTGAACTCTCCTCTTCTGATTCCGACTGGCTGCCACTGCGCTCATCCTCGCTCTCTTCCTCGCCATTCATGTCAGCTGCTGAATCTCCCTCTGCCTCCATCTCCTTGGGCAGGGGCTGGACAGGCATGGTGCGCCACGGAGGCAGGGTGCCCAGGGTGAAGAAAAGGAGGAGAGAAAACAACCAACCTGGAAGGTGGGGGGGGGGGGAGAACAAGATTAGAAAATCATGCTTACAACAAGGTTATAATGTACCTCCTCTACAAGTGGGTGGGACAAAGTGCACTTACGGGCCCTGACCACAGCATTCAGCATTTTTGAGAATACCAAATTTTGACTTGCTTTTAAAGTCTATAGTCTTTATGGTTTCCAAGGATGTTGACATCAATACCTGTTAAGTTATCTTTCGAATAATATTTCCAGTTGTCAAACATGGGCCTTCAGCACCCTGCAAAGGCCTCCCCACCTCACCTGCATCTGGCAGCATTATCCAACATAAACCTATCTGCAAACATCCGTAATTAGGATAATTTATGCAGACAGCTTTTCTTAAGCCATAATTTGGGTTTTCATTTTTAAGCACGCACAGGTATCATTAAGTGTCTGGAGGGCAAATGCAGATAGATGCAGAACTGAGCCAAGCAACATCTATCTCCCTTTGCTGGCTGGTGGGTAAGAGACTGGCTGGGCATTACACTCACAACACAAATGGCTGCCTCACTTGAAAGCCCAGCTCTGCCTGCCCAGGCCTGATTTAAACATTATCTCAGTGAGCAATAAGAACATTGCATGTGTAAGCATCCTATTTAAATGGCACCACTATGCACAGCAGTTGCGTGTACAAGGTTAACAAATCCAGGTCAGTGCCCACAGATCCAATGTATCTCTGGTGGGCTAACATACCACAGCTGATGGCCCACTGACGCTGCCTCTATGCAATGTTCCAAGTACACTGTTCTTGCCTTTTTTCAAATGGGGACCAGGCTTCTCCAGAGAATGCTGAAAAGCAAAACCAAAAAGAGGCATAGTGAAACAGGAGTCCAGTGGCACTTTAGAAACTAACAACATTTCCCAAGTCAGAGCTCACTTCATCAAAAGCACTTCAGGGCAGCTACTGAAATGAACTCTGACTCACAAATGCTTATGTTGCAATAAAGGGCCAGCCTTTATTTTGCCACTACAGGCTAAGATGGCTCCCTATTTGGAAATACAAAAAGCAGCAGGAGCTGCCTCTCTCCCACCACCACTTCTCTCTGCTTAGCAGCTCACTGTCCCGAAAAGATGGCAAGGAAGGAGTAGGGAAATTAGCTCCTAAGCAGAGAGAAACAATGGCCAAGGGCTAATCTACTGGTGCCAAAGTGTAGTTTAACATTAAAAAGTAGCGAGGGCAGATGGAGGATGTGGATCTGGGCCATGGCTGTCCTTTCACCACACTCCAGTTCCTGGATAGAAGTTGACTCCCCCCCCCCCCCCCACTTAAGTTAAGGAAACACTGGGGAAATCCCTGTGCTTGCCTAGAAGACCTTCAGCTTTGTGTCTGAGGGAAACTTCAGAATTCTAAGTAGGCAGAGCTCAGTTTATAGACGACTACTCTGGACATAACATGCAGCCTGGCTATTCCGCCTTCCAACAGTGCCACCCAAACAGCAGGAAAAACAGCCCACCTGTTGGCCTACCGCTCTGGGAAACCCTCCGGCTTTTCTTCCTGCTCAGTGAGCTTTAGAGCACAAAGGCTCTAACTTTCAAGTCGAAGAATTAAACCAAACTGCTGCCTGGCAACAGGAATTGATTCAAGACGGGTGTCTTTCCCAGGTATTGGGGGGGGGGGAGCTCACCTGTTGCATTCATGCCAGTCAGGTGCCTCGGGAAGTGTAAGGAATGGAGACTCTGGCAAATTTCCCATATCTTACAGACTTTTGGAAACTGGGCTGGGGCTCACCAAAAGAAACCGGGAAAAGCCCTGCTGGATCAGACCATGGGTCCGCATCCACTTCCTCATAGTGGCCAGACTATTTGGACTCAGAAAGGCTACAGGCGGGGCGCAGGGCCCAAAACCTCCCCACTGACCACCCCTGCTTCATGCTCCCAAACACTAGCCTTCCTCCCCTGCAGTAAAAAAAAAAAAAGTATAATTAAGCAAACAGGCGCATAAAAACTCGTTCCCCCGCTTGCTTGGAAAGCGACACCCAGGACAAGAAGTTAACACAGGACAAGGACTTATTACAAGCCCCTCCCTCAAACTGTAATGGACTCAACCACCTCCCCGGGGACTTCCACGGGGAAACTCGCTACCGGACACTGGAGGAAAGGAAATGAGAGAATGAACTCTTTTCCCAGCTACATCGCTCATACAGCTCTGGGCTTCACAGGGAAGAACAAACAATACACACATATTTCCTTCTCTTTATATTGCAATGGTGTGACCCACCACTTTCCCTCCAAATGGGAAAACGCAAAAGACTGGAATGGGCGGGACCATCCTTACCCACAAAAGGGGGGTGATAGGAAAAGAGTCTAGACCCTTCATACCTGGGGGAGGGGCTGAGGAGGGCGCAAACCCCGCTCTAGCGCTCCTTTGCAGCCGGAAGAAGTTCTCCTTGGCCCCGCCCACCACCATCAACCAATCAGAGCAAGAGATGTTTAAACTTACTCAGCTAGGCTTGCTTTGATGAAGATTTATGCTCTCCGCGATCGGCATTGTGGGAAACAGGAAGTAAAGGGCGGGTAAGAGTTTCCATGGTGACCAGACACCAACAAGGTTAGTATAAATACAAAACTGTAAAAACATGCTGTAGTGTAATCGCCATAGTCAATAAAAAGGACATGGACGCAAAGAACAATCCCGCCGCCCACAGGCGTGTGTTCGTTTATTTCAATTTGTGCATATTCTCTATCATACAGGAACGACGTGAGAAGCAAAGTCAGAAGCAAAACCTCGCAAGAATTCCAGTCTTAGCGGAAATAAAGGAGAAGGCTAAAAGAAGGGCTAATTAAGAACATAACTGGAAAACTGCCAAGAGGCCTGAAAAACCCCATCCCACAAAAAAGGCTGCAGTTGCCATGGAGACTGGCAGTATCCTCTTACTGTCCACCCCCACACCATCTGTGAAGCGATTACTGCCCATGGCAGTGCCTCAGCAAATCAGTGCTGTGTCCAGCCCTGAAATTACTCGCCCAGCCAAAACCCATCAGGTAAGGTAGGCACCACAATCACACTCTGAATGTGATGTCAGTATGGTTGAGTGTCGGAAGGCGGTTATTGCAGGTTTTGAGCCACACACTGGATCTCTTCTACATTGCAATTTGGAAAGAATGAAAGAAAAGTGACAAGCTGCTTCAGTGTTGTCTTGTGGGTGGTGTTTACCACCACAGAGGTGTGGAAAGAACCTTAATATATGTTTCCCCAAATTCTAGAAAATGGATTAGCTTTTTCAAAAGAGCTAGCTCTGCCAACAGCCCTTTCATTAACGTGTATATTCTCACTCCTGCTAGCTCTTTATTACACTATGCCCTAACTACTTATGCTCTACTACTTGGCATAAAGTTGACAAGAATACTGCATTTTAAATCCAAGATATTTGGTTTAATTTGCAAATGGCAGTTTTTAGTGGAAATAAATTATCCCCTCCCTACTTCCAGCCCCAGGAAGTACATTAGTGTATTTATATCCATTATACAAAAAAACCCCAAGAAGACGCTATCAATTTGAAAAATAAAGTCAGGGACAAAAATCAGCAATCTTGAATTGTATTTCAGTTTCTCCTCTTCAAGTCACCCAGCCTCAATCTCCAGCACTTTGACACAAATCCCTGTGGCCCATCCCCACCTCTTAAGCATCATAAAACATCAGCCCTCATTCCACAGGAAGAAATGTGCCTTTTATAGAGGAGGCCAACCAGGGAAAAACAGACAGACAAAAAAGAAACATCAAACATTTGTAAAAGTTAGCGAGTGGAAAGTGTGGAGTCTGGTGTTTGTTCTCACAATCAAGTTCCAGAGATTGTTAGCTCAGATTTATTTCCCAAGTTATCCTAAGGAACTAGGAATTCCAAAGTGAATTAGCCAGAGTCCTTTGTTAGCTATTTCACAAATAAATGTGTTTCTTTGTGTAAAACAGTGACCACCCACCAGAAACAGTTGTATAGTTATTTATCTCAGAACTGAACTGACTGGAAGGTGAGCTAACATTCCTTAGTCTTATCTGGGGTTAACTCCCAGTGCCATCCTAAGCAGAGCTAATGTCAGTCTAAGCTGATTGATTTCAATAGGTTTAGACTGGAATAACTGCATAGGACTGGACTGTGAAATTTGAATTAAAATTTACCTTTGCAATGCAAAGACAGTGTAACTGAACTGTAAACAGGCCCTACAAAAAGTCAGCTGTGGAATTCTTGTGCCTGATAGAAACCAAGATCCTTATATATGGAAGGGTCAGGGTGTGCGTATGTATGCAGACACAGATTCTGCAAAATAAAGCACTGATAATATTCTAGCAGCAACAAACATCACTGGAGAAAGTGGACAAGCTGGCAGGTATGCCCCCTCCCTCCAATGGGCACAGTAGTAGTTCTCCAGAAAAATATTGACAGTAGCATCAGCATCCTGAGTTGGACATTTCTGTCGAGCCGGTGTGCAGTGCTAAATCCCCCCCCCCCCGTCCAAAAGAGACTCAGCACAGTCCCCTATTAGTTGACACAGAATCAGCACCGCCTTGATGAAGTGGGGTATCTTATCTTGAGTTCCTGCTTGAATTGTCGGAAGAGCACCTTGTTGCGCTGGTTCTCAGCATCTTTTTGTGCATGGAAATCACTGGCCACCTTGAAGCCCTTGTGCACCAGAAATGCGTTGCTGAGCACCGAGAAACGGTACCCGGCCATATGGAGCTCACAAGCCTGGTGGGAAAGGACAATATAACAGCAGCAGAGTTCAGAGGCTCTCCCTAATTGAGAACATGCAAGAATAACCCACGTATTCTCTAAAAACTTTAAGAAGCGCACTGCAGGACTGTTCATATAAGGACCCCCCCCCCCAGTCTGGCTGAAATTAAGCTCTTCCACCATCCCAACCCCCAAACTACATTTGGCCCCTTTACCAAGATGACCACCAGACTAGATACCTGACTGATGCGATTGAAGCCATACTGCTTGAAGCGTTCATCGTAGTGTGGCACAGAACTAGCACCAATGTAGAAGGGTTCCCAGGGGTCCCTCCACTCCACTTCATAGGCCACACGCAGGGGGCCGCCCACTGGAAGATTCAGCCAATGGGAGTAGTTGGTGGGTGCCTGGCATCTGGGGCACAGCTCTTCATAGAAAGGCCGGATCTCACCCACTTGGTACAGCTGCAGCAGTTCTGTTTTGGTTCCAGGGATGCGGCGAGTATGGCGGATCTCAAAAGCAGGCACAACGAGGACCCTTGGCGTCCCCTCGTCAGCAACTCTGGGCAGTGCCACAAAGGCCTCCCGTAGCCCCTCGCTGGGCACCATGTCTACATCCACCACCAGCATCCAATGCCCACCGACCGCCCTCCGTGCCACATTGCGGAGCAAGTTATTGGGATAGGAAACATTGACAACATCCATGGCATAATTACGCTGCCCAGCCCCTACCCGTGACAGCTTGGCAAAGACATCTCCACAGGCTTGGAGCCTGGCAAATTCGTCATGATCCTCCAGCTCAGGGAAGGCAGCCACTTGATCGGCCTGGCACACCAGGTGGAGGCGAACCAGCTGGCGAATGGGCGCACACAGGGCTGCCAGTGCATAGACCATCACAGTGGCAAGGCGGACTTCGGCGGCATTTGGAGCGAAGAGGGCCACTGAGAGTGGGCCTCTCCAGCGTTCCACCAGTTGCTGAGTGTGATGCAAGTTGCTAAGGCTGGTGTGGGTGACCAGCACCACATCTTGGCTGTGCTTACCATCCCAGGTACCACGTAACATGTCCTGGTAGATGCGGAACTGTCTGCTGGCATCCAAGCTGCCACCACTGGCCAGCACTTGCTTGAGCCTCTCCTTGTGCCCGTCGCTGGGCAGGGACTGGCGCCCTTGGAAAAGCTCCGCATAGTGGGACCGTTGATCCTGTCCATGCAGTCCTGACAACAGGGCCAAATACAGCAGCTGCAAGCCAGCCACGAGTGCCAGCGCTGCCACCAGCACCTGGAAGCATGAGCACTGCATGGGCAAAGGGGGTACACAGTGTGTGTGTGTGTGAGAGAGAAGTCTCAAACCTGGCCCATCAGCTGTGGCTCCTTGCCTTCATTTCCTTTGCAGAGCTGCATGGTCCACCCTGAAGAGTCTGCAACGCGGCATGAAATCTACCTTGGGAAGAACCTTGCAAAACAGGTTAATGCATCGCGAGCAGCTGCTCGTCTCCCTTCCCTTCTTCTGAAAATCTACGAGCTTCGGTACAAGATCTGCTCGGGAGGGGGCGTCTTTCTCTAGCGCCCTCTACTCACGAGGAGGATTCATTACAAGGGGGGTGGCGGACGATTGCGACCCCCCCACCCGCTTTTCATTGTGCCCCCAGCCCTTCTGCACAGTTTTTCAAGCACATACAACCCCCCACCCCCCCAACCTCCGTTCCGCGAAGCAAGCGGTTTTCAGGCGCCGAGGTTCCCTCCCAACCAACCACCCCCCTTTTATTTTCATTTTGAGCGTTTGTGTTTTTTGGCGTTTGTAGAAAGCATAGCGAAAGACGGGCGCGGGGGGGGGGGGGGGGGAGAAACACGACGACTGCATACTGGAAAATTGGAAGTCATCGTGGGAAAGGGATAATACAAGAAAGACGAATTCTTATATAGGAAAGAGCTTCCCTGCCAGCTGGAAAATAACTATAGACCAGGTAGAAGAAAACACTTAAGCCTATGAGACGAGGTGGCCGAGTGGTTAAGGCGATGGACTGCTAATCCATTGTGCTCTGCACGCGTGGGTTCGAATCCCATCCTCGTCGCACCTCTTTTGAGTAACAGGAAGTTACCTTACATTTTCCGAAGATGGAAGGGAAAACAAGAAGAAAGTAGCCCCCCCCCTCCTCCTGTATTCTGTTGAACTTTAAGAGGAA